TACACTTCGTACGTTCATACATGCATATATATATATATATATTTATATACACCCGTATGTATTCAATATATCTATATTGGCATAATATGGGTTTATACACACTCTAAATATGCATCTGTCTCTGATACAAAGTTTTTGTAGGATGATAATTTTCAAATACTGATGCGTCTACATATTTGCACTGATATATACATATACCTGTACACGAATACCAACACATATTTATTACATGGATGTATGTGTGTGGATAGGCTTGTAAGCATACACGTAGATTTGATTTGTATAACGCAGTTATATGGCAATACATGCGGCGTATGAGTATTTAGGAGCTTTCGCTCAGATTTGGGCCTGAACTGGACAGAAGGTTGTCACGGGATTGAGTGAAAATCCACGTCTCATGTCTGACAATTTTCTAAGAGCAAGAGCAAGTTTGTATTCTCTTTATCGTTTTGTTTCCTTGGGCATAATTATCATAATTAGCGTTCTCGCCCTTCAAGAGCAACAATAGTATTGCGCAAAGGAAGTTTAGAATCGTTCATAAAGAGGACTGCTATGCCTCTTTCCGAATTGAAGGATCGGCATTAGTGTACATGCGAAGACTTATCAGCCGATTAAAAAAATATGCAAAACATCCTTCTTGCATCGCAGTTCCTTCATTGTACCATTAGAGATATATGGAGAAAGCTAGTTGTCAATAAAAAGAAAAAGTCCCGCTTACATGCACACTCAGTGATGTTTTCGTCCTGGAATCCAGGCACATGCCTGCTCGAAGGTTTCACTGAAGAGATTCCAATCCCCACCCGAGGTGAGCACTGGAGGCTGTCCCTGCTCATCATTTAGTATGGTAAAAACCACGTCCACACTGTCGCGCAACTTCTCCACCGAATCTGGCACAGTGTCGAAAGCGGACAGGAGAGTTTTCTGTAGCATCACGGAAGGAAGGGGTTTCGAATTTTGAGATTGGCAATTAATGTGCAACATTTCAGAGTATATGTGGCTGTTTGGAGTGTGTACAACAACGGAGTTTATTTATGTCCACACGATGTCTCATCGGGCCATGTCCAGGCTCGTTTACTTTGAAGTCTACTAAAATCTAAATAGTCATCGAATCTATGATGCAAGCAAGCATCGTAGTAGAAGACCAATAAGAATATTTGATTTCCCTCGAGGACGGTATATATGCTCAAGAACCGAAATTGCGTGTATGATGCCGATGTGCGTATCTATTTTTACCAAAAGCTGTCAAAATCGTGTTCTTGTCGTGGGGGGAGCGCATAAGTGTGATAGCTATCGTCGGTTCCAAGATGTACATGCTCTCCAAGGACAAAAAGATGTTAACCAATGGGTGGTGGTGTCCACTATATGGCCACCAGCTTCCTCGACACTAAGCCGTCGTGGATTCTCATAACAGAGATCGCCTTCTAATAAGGAAAGTGCTCGCATTCTAATCGTCATACATCCACACAGAAAATTAAAGTCATTAAACATACATAAGGGATATGTCGCCCGGTCTTTTGCTCTCGTTCCTTTGCTCGCTGCCTCACCATCTTTTCCGACGCTTCGATGTGGATAATACCCACTTGGATTTTGTCGTACTTCCGCCTACATGAACAAGCCCACAACCCCAGCAGTGCGAGAAATTCAGATTGACTAGTAGATGGGGAGGACTGGAAGACAGTCCAGTTGCCGCCACCCATGCTACACTGAGAACTATGGCTCTAAACATGCTTGAGAACGGAGTAACAATATGGCCGAGCAAACTCACCTCAAATGTTGTATTGTACTCTTATGCCATTCCCAACTCTTCAATGATCCGTCCACGATAACATTGCGACCGTCCTGTCTCACGAAATTGGCGTGGCTCGTAGAGTGAGTGAGAAATATCCAGTTCTTCTTTTCATTTCACTGTGTACGCCCACCATTCGCTAAACAAATGGTGGTTTAAATGGATGCAATTAAGACTTGCCCAAAACCGCTTTCAAGTAGTTCCGATGATTATCGTAGAACAAGCACCCGTACCAACGAATTTTAGTATGATCTACGACTCTTACCATGATTGCTGCCCCGAGCAGCAACTCTGCGATGTAGCCCGATTCCATATTTGTGTTCGTCCCGGCGCTTTCTTGATTTCTATTCATATATTGCTGCGTGGGCATCAATAACATACATGAGTACAGTATGCGTGCACGTGGTGGAACCCAAGGAAAGCTCAGGACAGACTAAAGGTCAAAACAGCTGGCGGGTACTGAAATCTCGGGGGTTTTCGATGTGAACCTACGTGGTACTCTGGAAGTCTGGTCCGGATGCGATCCACGCTCACTTGTACGAATGAATGTAAAGGAAAGAACCCCTCTGTCCAGAGCCATTTAAGTACATGTGTTTTTCCTGAGTAATAATAGTAAGCGGGGTTGAGTTGTCACAACCAGGAATGTCCTATATACATACTTAGACATAGCGAACTGCGCTTAAATTACCATGCAGACTCCGGTGAATATAAAAAACAACATATGATAGTAATTTTAGGGTTACACCAATAACATACTGAACAACGCCATACCTGCACCCATCGCTCCCGCTGTAAATACAATCCACTGTCCTTCCGGTCTTTCACAGTACACTCCCGGTGTGATCTTGTCCTAGACCATTAAGTATTACAATTTGAAGATTTATATATGACCTTCATCGAAACAAGTAGCAAACTCATGTTCAGTCTGGATCCTCGCTCGATATAAAATGCAATGCGACGAATAGAGCTTCATATTTGGCCTCCACATGTTTAAATACCGGAACAAACAAAAAACAATCTAGAAGAAAACCCAGGAAAGAAAGATGAGTAAGACGAAACTTTGTAACTTACCTCGACGACGCTCACTATGAGACTCGAAACGATTGCGTTCTGTAGTAACCTACGGTTTGATTTGTAGTGACTGTGGTAAGTGTAATCGATATTTCTCCTAAGAGAGTCATTTGGGTATAGCTTCGCCAAAACCTTCGGATCTGTTATCGCGGTCCCGTTCTCGACTATTATTCTTTGCTCGAAACTCCAGGAAAACAGGTCACAATTCTGCTCATCTTTTACTTGCTGTTTAACTTTCATGGCATAGTTCTCTTCTGTGGACACATCCCAGTTGTAAGACGTCGGAATCTACAAGAAAGAGGACAAAAAGTTCCCTATACATTATAACTATGGTTTGTAATATACGTATATTGCACATAGTACGTTTTAGGGTTTAAAACATTATCATATGTATGCCCGTGTGTTACACAAACCTTAAAGTTGACCCGTTCTCGCTTGGCTTTTTCATCTTTGCCACGGAGCTCTCTATGGATATACTGGAGTAGTAGAGTACGAGTAATATGAGAATCTCTGAGATGGATATCCACAATCCAACTTGATTTCCGCACAGGACATCACCAAAGATATGATTGTACTAGATGATTCACTAGAAATGGCCGGGCACATGTCTATAGGATTGCAGCGAAAGTGGTATACCTTGATGCCGGCCCAAATGTCATCCGATATAGAATGTGCGCGGCCGAGTACATTGTTCGGTACATTATTGTGCCAATCTTTCTCTTCTTCCGGAGGACGATGGAATCTCCCTTCTTCTGATCGACCACTTATACTGGTTTTGTTCGGTCGAGAATCCATTGGCGCTTTTCGCTTCCCACTCCCCGCCGCCGCTGCGTCATCTACCAACGTATAAAAAACGTACGTCCAATAGGTGTTAAAATATTTCGTTATGCTACTCATCGGCAACAAGAGATCCAAATGAAAAGGTAGAGCCATCTGAGCAACCTTGGGGAGCGTGATCATTTGACCGTAAACATGGGAAGATATACACAAAGATATATGTGAATATATATATACATATATATAACTATAACTATATCTATAACTATCACTATAACT